TTTGTATTTCTCTCTGTGAATTCCCAGAGATGTAATGGAATTATTAAGTAATATAAAGTAATAAAGTCTTCCAAGAAGTTAAGCAGGATGTGCGTGTTTATTGGGTCATTTCTTTGAGATGTAAGAGAAAATCAATAGCTAAAACCAGAAGATCCAATTCAAAACAACGCAAATCTGAATAACAAATCTCCAGGATATTACAGAGATGATCTGAGAACGCCTATAAAATATGAAAATAACTTAGCTTTAATTCAAAACAAACCATCTAATGTCACCAAAACCACCTTAGAATGTTCATAAAATTCATAATGCATCACAAGAACTGTAACTGTAATAATTCTCTGTAAAGGTCCTTAAAGAATCTGTGATTCACATGCAAGGTCAAAACTGAAACACTCATTTTATTGAAGGCCTTGGAACATTCAGGTTTTGTGCTGATGTGAATTTTTGCTATCTGTATTTTTATAGAAATTTCAAAAGGGAATAAAAAACCTAGGAAAAAATACAGCATAGGAAATTCAACATAGCTATTATAAGATGCCACTAGAAAATAAATTCATACTATTCATTTTAATGGAAACCAGTAATAATCGCAGAAACTACAAACAGCATAAATCTATGAATCCATAGAAATAGAAAAAATTTCAAATGTTTGCTTAAAAATATTATTACTTCATTATGGGAAATAAATGTCCTTGAGCCATTCTCTAGATAGTATTAAAATGTTGTCTGCATGGAAGGAATAATTTATATTACAAGAGTTTCCTTACAAATATGTATAGAGTTCTACACTTTCTTACAATTTAGGATAACTGAAATTTAGAGGCAGTGTGGGTAGGTTTGACCCTCTCTCACAGTGAGGTAAATGTTCATTTAAATCCTCAATACACCTTGGTTTCTCCATCGTAATAAGACCAAATCATGGATTATGTACATTAAATTCCACTTTTTTCTAAATTGTACATACATATTTTTACATATAGTCCAAGTCTAAATGGGGAAAACATTCACTAACCCAGGATGAGAATTTTAGAGTTAGTTCTTTACACTGCTGATATTTAGCAACATATTTGGAAAAAAGAAGCAATATCTAGGGCCAGCTAGCTCATACTAAGACAGAGTGGCCAACTTCTTTAAGTCTGTTGCCATGTTCTTAATAGCATTTTATGTAGGTTTTGCATTCAGTATTCTCTTAGTGAATTGCCTTAAAAATTTCTAGTTATGTTTTTCCTTGTATATCTCACACAGTGTGTGCTTTCTGCAAAATGCATGTGCTCCATAATACTATCTCCTTCTTCTGTGGATTATTACTTATGTAAAACCAACTGTCAGGACAATATTCATTGTTATTATTGATGTGTAATTTTGTGTTTTATCTGAGGAGATTTTTACTGATAAATTTTAAAGCTTTGAAAAATATATGGTGAAAAGTTTGCACTATGTTATTACTTAAGAAATTTCTAAAATGCTTGGGGTTTTTTTGTAAAATAAAAGTAATGACATAGTGTCTTGGATTTCTGGTAGCATCTAATGCACTGGAAAAAAATGTATGGTTCAAATATCAATCTAAAAGAAAAACTCAAGCTTTAATACTTTAAGGAAGCTTCAGTTGAAGCTCTGGAAAGCTAGGCAACTCTAATATAGGAAAAATGGGATTGATTTAAAAGTTATTTCAAGATAATATTAGAATAAGGAAAGAAAGAGAAGTTAACACCCAAAGCCAGGTTACTCATTTAAATCCAGTATAATTTCATTGGAATTCTAGTATTTTATAAAAAATAAGGTTAAATTCATTTAAAATTTTAGGAAATATTGGTTCTAATCAAACATCTTGCTTATATTTTATATTAATAAGAAAACAGAAGAACCAACTGAATAAACACGTTTTCTATCACTCAAAAATGAGTGGACAATTGTGGGCAACTTCAGTATGCTTTTTTTCCTCCCTCTCTCATATTAATCTAATAATGAGCAGAAATACCAAAAATCCTCAGTACCTGAATTTTTTAAATATATTGTTTAGTATCCTAGTGTTGTCTCCTCATAGTGTTTAAAACAATAACTGATTTTTTATTTACAGAATCACCTGTTAGTTCCCTGAAGTGCAGTTTGTCGTAGTTCATGAACTCCTAGGTGACTTTCAAAGACATTTTGCATTGCGTGTAATGAATTCAATATTTCTAGTTCAACAAATTCAATCAATCCATCACAATATCTAGAATGGCAATATATTAAATATCGTACATTAATCTCATACCCTGAAAAATCAGCTTCTTGTTTCTGATATTCCCACTTTCTGTGGTGTTAAATATTTTACCCTGTTTGTAGCACCAAGACAGTATTTGTGGGCTACAAAATAATAAATTAGAATGTGTATATGTATACACACACACACACAAAAATCTACCTAATCATAATATTCCTTTATCTGTATTACTCATCCTTTGTCTGCTTACTCATTCCCTCAGTTTCTCATACTGCATGCCGTGAAGCAATGTTTTTCCTCTTATCTTTTAACAGCCTTTCCTGTCAGGTTTGGAGCTCCTAGATTTTAAAAGAAGATTGATAACTTGGTGGCTTCATAGCAGCATTTTCTACTTATTTTTGATTGCAAGCTTTACGATTTCTAGTAAGTTTGCAAGCTTGGGGAAGAAAATTATACAGACTTTCTTGAAAACATTCAAACTGTTTTGAAAAGCTCAATGTCAGAGTAGTTATAAACTAATCTCAGTGAATACCACAATCCCCACAGGGATTTAACTGCAGATAGCAAACACTATATGGTGCAGATATTTGGAGCTATGTGTGCACTATCCAAACTCAGTTGCTGATTGTCTCTCCAAAGGTTGTTGAGCAATATTCCTGATGACTGAATTCAGCCCTTCACTTGCTTTTACTCTGCACTGATTTTTCAAAAGATTGAGGAAACCAAATAATCTCTGACACTTCCAGCTTTTCTTTAAATTTCCTTGAAACTGGTAAGTGGTTTAAAGGTCTTGCAAATGTACACTTGGTCAACTCACAGTCACCTTCCTTTGAAGGGGTAGAGGAGGAAGAAAAACAAACCACAAACCTAAGATAAATTATATTTTAGATATTTATATATATATGAAATATTTAAATAACAAAAAGTTAATGTAAATATCAAAGATATGATGACAGACAATGAAGATATTTTGATACATTTTTTAACAAATGTAGGTAAATTTTCTTTTAAAAGATATCCTAGAACATGCTTTAGTTGAGAAAAATATAGTTCTCACGTCACATCTAAGTTAGGGAACAGAAGTCATTACGCTTTTACCTTAGTAAATTCTTTTATTTGAAGAAAAGATCAGCCTCAATATCTCACAATGAAGTTATTTATTAGCATTATCATTTGCATCCTCAAGGTATTTTGAAGATCTTGAAATAGATTAAAAGGTCAATTTGGGAAACACTCTAGAAACCAAGCAGATGAGTGAATTAGTCCAAGGACAAGAGACTGACAACCCTACAACAGAATAATATTAAAACTTATGCTGTAAGCACACTGGAAGCATTTGACAATGATTGTCAAGAAAAACAGGGGTCAATGGTAACACAGGTTAGAACATAAGTGTTTTGTTTTGTAGAAAGATTGAAAAGACAAGATTTAACTGACTTTGCAAAAAATAGTGTGATGATCTCACAAAGGATGAGAACCAACACAAAAATCTTTCTCAGAAAAAAAAATGTTTCTTTGCCTCACCAGAGGCAATAATGAAAAGGAACACCTGTAGTTTGGCACGCACTTGTCAAAAGTTATCCCCGTCTGACATCAGGGTTCCAGTATTAGATATGCTAAAGACAGATTTTGTGAACATAAAAACAGTTATTGGCTTTTGAAATAAGGATGTCTTTAACTTTTTATCATAGAAGATGCCAGTTAATTTTGTTCTTAAATACAATTTTTATGTTCAAGGAACATTCAAGTCTTCTTTAACAATTCTTTATCTCATATAGTCCTTAATAGTATGATATAAAAAAGCAAGATTCAAAATTACTGCCATTAAAATTTTGTTATTTAGGAAAACAATGATTATTTAACTTGTTTTTTAGGGGTTACTGGTTTAGCATCAAAACAATAAATTAAATTCTGCTATTAGTCACACACGTTAAGATCAACTTCAGGAGAAGAAATCACAAAATCACAGAATAGTTACGGTTGGAAGGGACGTCTGGAGATAATCTAGTCTAACACTCAAGGACAGAATTTTCCATTTTGATGATAAGGAACCAAAATGAGCAGCATCAAATTCTTAAGTGTTTTCTGTCTTTGTTGTGTGTCTGTAACTATATCTTGCGGCAGAGATTTTTCTTTCCCCTTGGAAACCACAAGTCATTTGCTTTAATTTCTTTGATGTTCTATTCCTTATATTTTGTGTTTCAAAAGTTTTATGTTCCATATTAGTAAGTAGACACCCGGGAAAAAAGCACTAAAAACAACAACAACAACAACAACAACAACAACAACAAAGAAGAAGAAAAGAAATTAAAAGATTATATGATTTGAGAGTCATACAAAGCAATCAATTCATAAGTAAGGTTGAGCATGAGAGACAAAGGTTGAGGAAAATTCAGTAAATGAGAAGTCAGTTGTTTAAACTGATAAAATTCAAGCTTGGAAAATATGGACTGCATCTTGATTGCAGAGGTATAACAAATGAAGTGGTCTTTACTTTATTCATAATGAAAATATTTCAAAATTATGGGAAAAAAAATCTGTTATCTAACACTTGCTTACATCAAGGTATTAATATATGCAGCAGATCCCATAGAGAGATCTGCTTAACAGTGAAAACAGTTTATAAGTAATATAGTTTTGGCATTAGATATCCTTTTTTTTAACACAGAGATAAAACTTTTACATAGTATCAAATATCAACATCTTGCAAACCAAGGTAAAAAGGGGTTAAATTAAAAATAAACCAAGAAAGGTCTGGACCATAATTTCCATTCTTCTTTTTCATTTTATGAACAGCTCTTGCTGTATTTCTTGGTTAGGGTAAGGTAAAAGATTGTGATTTTTTTTCAGTCTTTTCCATTCTGTAGATTCCCACTCCTATTTTCACATATGCTTTCAGACCCTAATACTGCCAACATAAGCCTACCTAAAATGACACCTACAATAAAATATCTACAAATAATTTTTCTTAGCCACATTTTTAGCACCTTTTAGGAGCAGTACTTTTGCCATGCTTAAAAATCCCTTGTTGTGGTTTTGGAATGGTATTCCCAAATTTAGTGTTCCCACTGAAACACTAAACCATGCACTGCTCGCTCACTCCCTCCTCCCTCTGCGGCAGGCTAGAGAGGAGAACTGGAGGCACAAAGGGTAAAGATCATGTGTTGCAATAAGAACAATTTACTTAAAAGATAAATGGAATAAGAAAACGAACGGTAACAGCTATAATATCAATAACAGAGGGAACTACTCGACCTCTCTCTCTGGCTCCCTCAACTGGAAGAGAGCCATTCCCTCCAGCCCCAGAAAATGACATGTGGTGACCTCAGGGTCCAGGTCATGTCCCTCCTGGCCACTGCAAAAATGAAATGAACCCTGTCCTGGCCAGAACCAGGATATCCCTGAATTACAGGACTCTACCTAGTTTTTTTTTTCCAACACAAACAATCAAATGGATAGTTAGTGGCTATTTAAATCACAGCTGACCTGGGAAAGAATAAATTTACAAGAAGGACACCACAAATGTTTGTTTATTACCATGTGACTTTCCAACATGAATAACTCAGACAATTACCATGTCTATGGCAGACCTGCAGTATTCCTGTGTGCTTAGTTATGACAGTTTCTAAGGTTGGGTCATAAAAGATTACCATCAGAAGATACCATGAAAGAATATCAAATTTCAGATCTTAAATACCTCAGATATTTAGCTTTGTCACAAATGAAGCTGACAGCGTCCCAGACACAGCTCACCCCTGTGTTATTCCTACACCTCCTGCTATAGTTAATTAGGAACATTTGTTCACAGATACTGATGGAAGACTGACAAATGTTAAGTGACAGACACCTGGTACATGTTTAAAAAAAATATACAGTTGTTCATTAATCATAGCATGTCTTTTCAGCTAGGAAAAGTACATGTCAAAAGAAAAAGGTTTCAAAACATACTGAAATCATACTGTCAAACTTACTAAATGAGATTGTCTTTCTGTTATAAGAGAGATGTAATGAAGGTTAAGTCAGCACTACAGTTCTAAACTCTTCTTTCCAAGGGAGCTGACTTTCAAAAATGTAAAACAGAAGTCAAAGACAGGTTAAAGCATGTCATTCTACCTTTCAGTCCAACAGGCACTTTTTAACATTGGTTTGGTTGTTTTTCTTAATGCTGTTCAGCTCTTTGAATGTAATTTCAAGTTCAGATCCTAAAAAAAAGTAACAGTTTTCATTTCTCATGTAGATTTATATTTAACATTTTGACATTTCAAAATATTTTTTTCTTTGAAAGTACTTTTAGAAAACTCTCTTGCTACTCAAAAGAAACAAATACAGATATTAACTAGTGAACTCCTCTGTTTTTTCCCTTTTATTTTAATTGTTTTTGGTAGGAGGATAAGTTTAGCATGACCTAGCGATTTATCATTTCTCCATGCAGCGAATGCAATGGTCTAATGTCAACACAATTATATCTATGCCTCATTAAAATGAGGATTAAATGGAGTATATGATAGTTCTCATTTCCAAATAATTCTCACTTGAATATGGGATTTCCTGCTTATTTGCAACCTGCAGGCAAGGGAGCACATGAAAATGAGAAACCAAGCTTATTGGTCATTCCCAGTTGGTCATCCCTAAGCTCATTATTAGCTCAAACCAGACATTATGTAAGTAATAGTTTTCTATCTTAGTCTTGTGATTATGGATATGTTCCTTGATTTTCCATTCTCATTGTTAAATAGTGAGAAGGTCTGCTTACCCAGGTTCCTCACTTAGGAAGGCTACAAACTAAAAAAAAAGAGAGTAATGGTACGACTAAAGTCAGACTTCAGGCAAGTATTTACTGCTGAACAGAAGGATGAGGAAAAGAGGAAACTTATGAACAGGCGGTATTTGAATCTAGGCATTCCAGGATTACCTGCCAGTATATGTATATATATTAATAGCTGCTGGGCTGTACCACATCCTAGGGAGCATACAGTCCCTATCACATGTACGTGGAGGGGTAATATTGTCTAGAACTTTGTGGCTGCCTGGAGAATTGAATAGAGGTACGTGTTCAACGCCCACCACATTTGTTTGTCAGAGAAGTAGTAGTATGAGTAGATAGACATATCCAGAGCTACAAAATGGACAGCTGTTCAAGAGCGTTAAGGAAATAATTTTATTTACAGCACAGACATCTAGATTTTGTGATCTAGAACACAAAATTAATTTATGTTACTGTACTTTTCTATAGGGTCTTCTTTCAGCCACTATAAACCCAGAATGGATGGAACTGTGGTACACCCGAAGAGGAGCATGACAAATGTGAAAGACAACAACGACAAAGGGGAAAAAAAATTTGGAGGCAGTATTTAACAAGCCAGACCTTCTTAAGCAACCATAAAAGGTTTTACTTTTTTATGATAAAATATACGCAGGTGCATTAAACAGTAGTAATCTGTCTGTACAAGTTTCTGCATTATAATCACAAGGATGGGATATTTGCAAATGCCCTCCTCTATGGTAGCTGATAAAAACATTCAACAAAATCAAAATCAAACCAAATAAAAGAAGGGGACACACTGTATTTTATAATACAACATTATCAGTAGGACTTTGTTAAATTGAAGGTCAACACCAGTTGTTATGAATCATACTGGTTTATGAGAAAAATAATCTTCGAACTCCAAGTTTCCAGATGTGTATTTGCCGTGTAATGGTCAGAACAGATCCATAACCATAACATACACTGAGAGCTGGTGGTCCCCCATAATCAAGCATATCGTATTATTTATTAACTATGTCATCATATCTAGGGTGTGGTATATATACATGGACAGAGCTTTTCATAACTTGTTACAGCACAATATTCTCTAAAGGAATATATGGAGAATTAAATTAATTTTTTGAAATAGTGTATTTATTTTCTTTTAGTTTGGCTAGTCTGAAAAAACAATTTTCTCTAAGAAATTTAGGAAAATATAATAAGCAAAGAAAAATTTAGTGTTATATTGATTGATTTACTGAAATGTATTTAAAGCAGTTGTCCATCCCATACTTCACTGCCTCACCTTTATATATAAATGCAAAATAACACAATAAAAATGTACATGATATAAAACTTAATCAAAACTTCCATTCTCTCTTCTCTCCCAAAATTTACAGAGAATTCAGTGTTCCCTGAAAATTTGGTATCTGGAAAGCCTTTTAGGGCGGGAAGGAAGAGTGTGCCAGAGTTCAGGTCTTTTCTCAGAGGTAAGCATAGCAGCTAACTCATTTATAAAGAAAAATATGCCTACATCCTTCTTACTGATCACAGCCGCACATGCAGAAGTGCTTTTCATTCAAATATGTATGCAGTGTGCTTAAAAGGTAATCTATGGTGGACTAACAGATGGGACAAAAATCACTATTGAATAGAGTTCAGAGGATGTTAGGCTGAAAACAACCACCCATCTTCTTGTAACCTGAAAAATACATGAAAACACAATTATATCTTTTTTGGAGATCTCACAAAAACACAACCTCCTTTAAACCATCAAAAGCATAATGCTTTTTACTGTTACTGAGTCTCCAGTGCTCCATGCAATCCTACAGTGAATAAAAATCAAGAATGGAGGGGAGCTGGTGTGCTGGATAAGAAGGCAGACTGGGAAAGATATGTTGCCTGGAAAAGCATAAATGGGATCTAAAGGAACCTGTTACTTACTGGATAATTCACCCACCAGACTGACAGTTTTTCCCCAGTCTATTGTTGTGTGTTTATGAATTCTTATGCACCTCAGTTTATTGTTAAATTTTATGAATTCTGTCATATCTCCATATTGCCTCCCTTTCTCCCTCAGATTTTCCCTCCAAAAGTTGTTTGTCACCCTGTCTCCCCAGTTTTCCCGCTCCTCTGCTGCTTATTGGTCACAGCCTGCCACCATGCAGGGAGAGCTACCATTGGCCCAGTCCCTCACAGACCCGGGAGTTCCACCCACCTTTCCTGTATCCCCCTATCACACTTTTCCCTGAGTTGTCAATCTCTTGCGCCTCCCCAGCTTAGAATCCACCCCTCAAACCTACGTTATTTAAACCCTTGTTTCCCCCAAATAAACGGCATTGCTGCACGAGACCTCAACTGTGTCAGAACCCTTATTGCAGTGCCCAGTCCCATTCCCTTCCCCCCGCGGACTGTGGCAAGCTGGAAGCCATGGTAGTCATCTATCAACATAAGCACTGTTGTATAATTCCTTTCAGATTTAACATCATTCATATACATCCCTTTCCATTACTCTGATTTAATGTTTTGGGGTTTTTTCAACAGCCTATGGCAACCTGAAAGCAAGATGACAATTGTAATTTGCATTAAACAAAAACAAAAAAATTTATAACCTGTCCCCAAATCATTTATAGCCTCATTATAAGGTGATGATAAAACAAAAACACAAATAGGGAGATGGAAGCATACCTGGATGGGTATTGACCTTCTTGTCCTGGTAGTTAAAACACATAGGAAAGGTCTGCTGACACCCCAGCTGTGAAGACTTGAAAAAAAATTAGGTTATTTGGAGATATTTCTGGGAATTTATTTTTCAAATATAAAGGATTATTTCTGACTTCTTTTCCTATCTCACCTCTATGTGACAAAAAGAAGACTTCCATGAGCAATAAACTTTCAGGAGATCGTCATAAAATTAAGGTGACATTCAAGGTTGATAGAGCTGTTTCCCCAGTCTTTTCTCATATCTGTCCACAAAGTTTATGTAATTATTAATACTTTCTTTTTGCATTTTTCTCCCTTTGAGAGGCATGCTTCTTTGCTTATCTATTTCTTTAAAGACCAATGCTGACAAGTCAATGTTTTTTAAGAAAAAATTTAGAAGAATAAATCAGCAAATATTTGCAATTAATGTATAAAGTTTGATAAGGAAGTAAGTATTTCAACATAGTACCTATGTGAGGTTACAAACCACAATAAAAACTGGCCTTCGAAAAATTACTTTTGAGCTGCTAGTAATGCAGTCTGATTTCTCTTTGTGAAGGACTATATATGAATAGCAAATTGTAACTTTTCAAATTTTTTTCTTTACTTTTTTCAGACCTGTGTAATATTAAAATCAATTAAAATAAAAAGATGCTACAAAACTCACTGAAACATGTAAGGTAGGATAGACTCATGAGCAATCATACAAGTTCGTGCTTACCCCAAGCAACACTTTTGAATCCAGTTTATGGAAAGTGTAAACAAATAAAATTTTGTGTAACTATTTTTAATGAGAAGATTGATTTATGAAAAAAGCAG